GGTGCTCCTGTCATTCCTGGTTACTGCGTGTGAGTGTTGTCAAGGAGTGTTGACTAATTTGGGATCCTTTCCCATCCTACTGCGTCAAATGCTGATCTGTTGTCATATGCCTGGGAATTTATGTTGTTCCTGGTGATCTGTCTATTCCATGTTGACAGGGGAGTTCTGGCCTGTTTTCTGAAGACTGTGTGCGCTGAAAATTCTGTTCTGACCCTCTGGTTGCTTCACAAATGTTCTGTTGCTGTTTTCCTTGAGAAGTGTTGGGTTTTCTGGTGTCTTGTAAGGGAGTGACCCAGGGTTATTTTGGGCGCTGATTCTGAATCTGAAGTAATATTTCTGCTTTTGTCCCTTCTTGATGTCCTTTTCTGTGTGCTGGTCCATTGGAATTACCACACCGCGAGAATTTGAAGGTCGCTTAGGGGAAGGCAACTCGTTTCCGTGAGTCTTGTTGCGCTTGAAGGTGGTGGTTCTGGTTGAAGATTGTCCGCAAGACTTTGAAGGTCGCTTGGGGGAAGGCGACTCACTAGATTTGGTGGTGGAAGCAGTGGATTCCCTGGCAACATGGTGCTTATGAGTTGATGGGGTTCTGGCCGGTGATCGTGCGACTCTTACTGAGTGACTAGCTTTTGATGGCAATCAAATAGATTTAATTATGGCTGGCAATGAAGTGGTTTTGGTTCTTTCTGGTGATTGAGTTGACCTGATTTTTGCGGGTGATTTAGCTCTTGCTGGTGGTTGATTTTTTCTGGCAGTGGTTGGGGTTTGAGCTGCCTTTGCTAGTGATTGAGCCGCTCTTGCTCGTGAAGGCGAGGGTGTGGCAGCTTTTCTTGAGGCTGCTTGGCGCTTTGGATTTCGTGCTTGTGATTCAGGGGAAGGAGTGGGGGAAGGCTTGGCGGTGGGAGGGTTAGACAGGCTTGTGATGGATGAAGAGGGGCAGCATCTGTAGCATCTGCCTCGCGTGCCTCTAAAGCCACAAGGGGCAGATGATATTCATGATCAGAAATTTTGTACACATGCGGGAACAATGTGTTATGATCTTGTAACCCCCTTCAGGACTTGCCAGGGGTTTCCCCAACTGGGGGGATTATCTTCAGCCTCCGCACCTTTGTACATTCCCCAGTTAGCAATCCATCATCTCAATCACAACAAAATGATGGTTTTGTGTATATTCATACCCTTCATACCCATTCATACCCCTGGGTATGAACGGGTATTAGGAATGAGGGCTCATTCCAGGCCGCCCCACTACTAGGCTTTGAGACGAATTTAAACTTGAATGCAGAAGTTACCACACAAATATAGGGTCTTCTGAGTATTCTAGAACCTCAAATACTATTCTTTTGCATCAGAGGACGCTTTTATGACCGCTTAATCACTGAAAGTTGGAAAGGCTTTAATAAAAACAGAACAAGGGAAAGTGAGTCTGTAGTTTCACCATAATCACCCAAAACAGGCTAGAAAAATCCCTGAAACATTACAACTAGTTTCAGCCCTACATTGAATCCAGGTAACCCAGCCCTTTATGTAGGCTTAGTGACAACTGGAGAGGTTGTAACCATCCACAACAGGCTGGGTTAAGCCCAGTTGAGATGGTTACATGTTTGAACTAG